GTTAGCAGCCTGATTCATAACCACTACGTTACCAGAGCTTCTTAATGCTACAGGCTACTATAAATGCCATTTGTCCTTAGTTTTTTGTTTTGTTTTGTTTTGTTTTTTGAGTCCTGTTGTGGTGCTATAGGATAAGCACTGGACCACAAAGCCAGTTTGAACTGCAGGATCAGTGGTTCAAACTCACCGACTACTCCTCAGAAACCATATTGCTATTTGCTTCCAGGTTGAAGGCTTTACTTCTTTTTTACTTAGTAGTGCTTTTCAAACTTTAAAAGCCTGTAAGAATCAACTGGAGAGATGGAGATCTTGTTAAAATATTCATAAGGTGTAGGTCTAGCATACCTTGACCATGTTTTAGAATCACCTATATGCTTGTGAAAGTGGGCCAGCGAATAAGGAAGACCACAGAAGAATTGATGCCTTAGAATTACGGTGTTGGCGAAGAGTACTGAATATACCATGGGCTGCCAGAAGAATGAAGAAATAATGGATTGTTTTCCACAAACTCTTTGAAGCCCTTCATTATATGTTTACTCTTTTTTTTTTTTTTTTTTAATGTTTCATTGTGAATTGTGTGATAGTCTACATGGGAGAACGTCAGCTTTACATTTATTCCATCATCCATCATTTCATTGGCATAGTTATCATCCTGTCCATGCATCCTCACCCAACCAAGGGGTATACCCTGTAAGCCTGCACCCCACCCCCCCAGCCCTCAGCCCCTTTCCATCTCCTCTCCTGATCCTAAGTCCCCAGCCCCACCATTTCTTGACATCATCTTCTTTGCCTCCATCTCAGGCCCCACCACCTCTCTGGGTAGGATTCTGCTCTTCGCTCTTCTCCATCAATGGTCCCAGGGTCCTCCGCTCCTAGGCTGAAAAGTTAATCACTCCCCTCTTTGCTACAAAAAGTCCATCTTTAGATTTCCAACCCTCACAATCAATCCTGATAACAATCATTTACAATTGCATCACAAGAGACCCATCTATATTTCGTTTCAGCAGCCCTTCCTGGACAGGCTGGACACTATTCACTGGAGACTCTACCTTCCTCCACCCCCTTTGGATCTAGGTTCCCTCTTGAAAGCTTGTAAGCCAGTCACTTCTTGCCTTTGTATCCCTCCCCCCATTTTGGGTAGCCAATGTCCAAGTTGCCC